TCTCATTGAGTGGGCTTTAAGGCCAATTAAGTAGATGTTGATTGCCCCCAAGATAAAAATGCCACTGCTGCACCCATGTCATATGCTGTGCTGGTCATTGATGTGGTTATTAGGCCTGAAGCTGGGGTTGGACCATTGATTGATGTTCTCCCTTAGCAACTTGCATAGCGCTCTCCAAAGCTGTGAGAGTTAGCCTTTAGGGAGGTGGAAGCCCTCATTTTTGAACATAGATTTTTATGCTAAAAAATGGGGCTAGCATTGGTAGGTGCTAGACTTTAGGAAATGAAGATTTGTGACTAAGGATTTGATATAGATGATTTGCATATTAATAATCAAAACTCAAAATTTAAAACTAAATACTTCATTCAGTCAACATCTTTTAACTACTCTGTGGATTAATGACATAAATTCTCCAGAACTGGCATTGTTTTCCTGTTAAAACACGATCAGATCCCATGGTTAGTCAGGGTTGCCTTTCACAGACATTATCAACTTACTCTGAAATTGTAGGTGGTATTTCATCACAGTTTAAATTTGTGCTAATGTACACAAAAGGAAAAAACACTCAGCAATTCTTGGACTTAATATTCTTTGTCAAATCGGTGTGATTTTCCAAAAACTTTGTCTTATTTTCATAAAAAAGAAGTATCACGTTCACTTTCAATGAAATTTCTCTAAATGGTGAAAAGGTATGTGTTGCCAAATTGACAGTAACTAACTCCATAGATAGACTCTTTTAAAAATAGTTTTAAATTATGTGTGTGTGCATATGTGTATGTGTCTGTGTGTCTGTGTCCGTGTCTGTGTCTGTGTGTGGGTATATGCATGTGAATTCTGGGGAGGCCAGAAGGGGGAACTGGGCTCCTGGAGTTGGAGTTATAGGTTGTTGTGAGCTGCCTCGCATAAGTGCTGGAAACTGAATCATATCCTCTGTAAGAGCAGCAAGCACTCTTAACCACTGAGCCCCCTAGAATTTCTAAATAGAAGCCTCCCACCACCCAGAATATTTTTCGAAAGTCTTTGGTATCTCCTATTTTGTGTCAATGTTAAGATTTTATAAGGGCTTGGTGATTATCTGCTAAACATTTGCAAGCCAAAAATAGCAAAGGCACTTACCATTAGTAGAAAACGAGAAACTGACTACATGTAATGCTCAGCTATCTTGTTAGGTGTATGTACGGGTTTAGAGCTGACTTTATGGTACATAAGCATGTCAATAGTTTCTACTGGATAATTACATACATTTTCTACTGGATGATTTATATAAATTTTTATGGTGCTTTGAGAGTCTTTGTTTCAGATAGGGTTTGAAATTCATTGATGAATTAAATACTCATTCTTGGTGTATCTTGGTGTCTATGTATGACTAAGAATGAAGGCATTCTGATATATAGTTTCATTTTTAAACTAGAAGTGGTTTGTGATTCAATAACTTTTTAGGTAAGAGAAGTCCAAAATTATGAAAAAGTAATGTATAGGTCTGATAACTGTTCTGCTTTCTGATCCTGTGTTGAGAGCTAATGAATTCTCTGTCTTTCGTGAGTTTGCCAGGCTAATGCCAGTCTTTCATGATGAAAACCATAACATTTAAGATTGGGATATGGAGAGCTTTTTAGAGTTACTGATGGCTGATGTGGGCTTGGGGGTAGAGCTAAAGTGCCTGTTGGACCTTTCCCTTTCATGCTTGTCTCTACCTTTTGCCATCTGTGAGGAGCGGCAGCTGTCTTTACAGTGAACTACACACAAACCTTTGGTTAAGAAGACTTGGTTCCTTGTGGTATCTTATTATTAGCCCTGTCTTTCCTCCTGTCTTCCTTTTTACCCCTTTCCGTTCCCCTTTTCCTCCCCTCCCCTCCTCTCTGCTTCTCTTACTAGCTCTTACAATGCAGTCCAGATTGTCCTCAAACTTGTGATCTTCCTGTCTCAGCCTCCTGAATGCTGGGATTACAGGTGTACATCACTATACTTGGTTATAAAGATTTTGTTTGTATTGCTGGAGCTCAAACCCAGGGCCACACACACACACACACATGCTAGACAACGCTTTCCCACTGATGCACATACCCTGCTTATTTCCTGAAGCTCAGGAGTGACTCCAGACTCACAAACCTGTGCTTTCCTAGGCAAGAAAAGTTAATCCTTAAATAGTTTAGTTGGTTTGTTGTGATTTTGTAAAACCATCAGTTTGCCTATTAATTTTAATAATGTTCAGCAAAGTGTGTATTATTAGTAAGAGTTCTCAGATGCACTGAATTAGTGCTTCTGAGGCAGGTTGTAAGAGAAAGTTCTAGAGTTGTGAGGCATGATACCCAATGGCTTTGCTGGCAGTGTTGTGTGTATTTAACTCATGACCATTTTACAGTAGCTGTGGAGGAACAGATTATTGGGAGGAAGGGGGACGGTTTTGCCTGTGTCATGTGCTCCTAATGAACTCCATTCTAAGACTTCTCACATTCTTCTAAGACATAACACACATATAGGAAGGTTTTTTTTTTTGGCAACTTTTCAAAATTGTGTGTGGGTTGCCTATGAAAATGTCCTTCTCTGGGGCTGGAGAGATGGCTCAGCGGTTAAGAACACTGACCGTTCTTACAGAAGACCTGGGCTTGAATCCCAGCATCCACATGGCAGTTAACAACTGTCCGTAACTCCAGTTCCAGGGGATCCGACAGCCTCTTCTGTCCTCCGCTGGCATTGCATGACATGGGTGCACTTACCTACATGCAGGCATAACACTCATACACATAAAATAAAAAGAATAAATAAAATATATAAAAAAAGAGAATGTCCTTCTCTGTCAACAGAGAATAAACCCCAGAAATTTTCTGGAAATAATCTATTCCAGATATAACCTTTCTTTAATTTAAAAAAGAGTTTTATATAGTTTTAAAAATGTAAATTTTAAAATGTGGGACATTTTTTGAAATTTATGCTAAAAAGGCTTAAGAGGTATGCATTTTTATACCATAAAATTTGCTAAATCTATGTATGTCCAGGGTAATTTATGTTAAGTAAGAAAAATGTGACCCGACCTTAGGATATTACAGAAAGGAAATGAATTGTACAGAACAGTTTGGCTGTGCAGCACTGACACAGCTAGTTAGAAAATAATGATGTTTTCTCTTCGTCAGTGACTCATTTTCCTTTGTTTAAAATAATTTAAAATATTTTTCTTGATAAATTACTCAGAATTGGTTTTGAAAAGTAAGCAAATAACAGAAAGAAACGGTACCTTTGATCTTTCTTTCTCTTGCACAGCCATAGTTACAAACACATTTTCTTACTATGTGATTCAGAATGTACTTTATGTTTTATGTTCAGTTGTTTTCTTAGATTATACTTGATAGATTTCATTATTCTATTAGAATAAATGTGTCATTATCAAGATACGGTGAATTTTAAAATTGAAGGCCAATAAGAACAAAATGCAAATTAAAAATATAACCAACTTGAAAAGAAAATCTAGCAAACAGGACTTGGATACGAATGCTTTTTCTGCAATCGTGAGGCTTGAATTTGAATCCTCAGCACTTACAGAAACAGCCAGGCATAGCTGCACATTCCTGTAACCCCAGCATTGGGAGGCTGAGACAGGCAGATTCCAGGAGGCAGCTTGCTGGCCAGCCAGCCTAGCCAAAAGGACAAGCTTCCAGCTCAGAGAGGGAACTCATCCCAAGGCAATAAGGTGGACAGCAACAGAGGAAGGCACCCAGTGTCCTCTCTGGCCTCTGCATGCACTCACAGTGGCACGCTCCCCCACATTCACATGCATGTACCACATGTACAGACACCTACACCACATTCACACACAGCAGGTTTATAAAAAGAAAAAAAAAACAAAAAAAATTAAAAAAAATATAGCAAACAAATGTGATGTTTGCCTTTATATTATTGCTCAATTTGAGTCAAATTGGACTTTAAAATGTTTCTTCTGTTACCCCAAGGAAAACCCATTAAATTAGACAAAAACACAAAATGATTGTATATTAAAGTGGATGGTTTATGTTTTAAAGGGGAAAGGCATTCATTCAAAACAGAAATAGTGAAGCGCCCTCCTCTCTTACACTAGGACTCTAGGCTGGTCACGCACTGACCGTAGTTCAGTGTTTCAAGTTTCTTCCTTTACTTTCATCTAACTGGGATGTTTATGCATCTCCAAGAGAAATGGCTGAGCTTAAACAGTTGATTTAAGTTCTTGTTGTTATTGACAACCAAAGCAGCCATGCAAGAAGACAGAGCTGTGAAAGGGAAGAAGACAAACCTTAAATATGTCCTTCCCAAAGCTGGAGAGAAAAGGAGCATACAGTGTGTGAGAAGCAGGTAAGTGAAGCCATGTCAATGCCATACTGCCATTCCTGGGCACTGATGGATTCAAAGATTTAAATTTTTTCAGATGATTTGCCCAACATTCATTTAAAGAATACTGTATCTAGGTACCAAAAATTAATACTTTGAAATAAAATATTGGAAGATACAATGTCACCAAACATATGAACTATGTCATTAGAATTTGGACTACAGGGGGCCAGCAAGATGGTTCAGCCAGTAAAGATGCTTGCTGCCATGTTTGAGGACCTGAGTTTGATCCCTGGGATCCACATGGTGGAAGGAAAGAACGAAGACCAACTCCTGCAAGTTGTCCTCTGATCTTCATATGCACGCTGTACCACACACGTAACACACACACACACACACACACACACACACACACACACACACACTAAATAAATGTAAAAAAAATTAAAAAATAATTTGGACTGTAGAATTGCATAACAAATTATTGGTTAATATTTTTGTTACAAAATGTTTTCTGATAACAAAATGATGACTAAAATATTACTATTTTAAACATGTCCTAGATTTTTTTTTTGTTTCAGAAAAGCACTGAAAGTTGAATATGTGTAAGTCTCCGGGAATGTAACAAGTTGATAAATACCCAAGTCCAGCCTCCTTACAGAGAAAAGATCTCGAATTTCTTTTTTTGGACATTTGTTTTGCAGCTTTCTACGTCTTAAAGCAGAGACTAGCAAGGATAAGGTGCCAGCTCAAAGGTTAGATGAACATATTTCTTGACATAATTTTGGCTAATGTATGTCTTGAAAGGCATAACATCTAAATAATAACTATAAAGTTATAAACAGGACTTAACCTTTCTTGTTTTTGAGTTGCTTATTTGGGGGAAGACTATTTCTTAGAGATGTGTTTATTCTTTTAGTTATACTAAGTTAATTTTAATTCAGTTATTAGATTAAACTTTTCCCTTTCAGTTTTTATTTTATTTTACAAATTAATAAATTGACCTCCATACTAACCAGAAGGGCAATTTAAATTTTTAATATTTAAAGAAGCAAATGTAGAAAAACAAAATCTTCCAAATTAAATCACTAATCCCAGCCTGTCATTAACCCAGAGGATTGTGTTTCATGTTCATTAAAGTCTCATGGCACAGCTCAGGTAAGAACCACTTTAACCAGATGCTCATGCTGATGTTTTGATACATAAAGTATTCCTTGGTTAAAATATTTGGGCAGTGAGTAAAGTCACTTAGCAAGGCATCTATGACATTTTAGTGGAAATTTTTTTGATGAAATGATATAAAATTATAATGGTCCAAGAAGACAACAGTGTAAGGTGGTTGATGAAAGTATAATCCCATGTCACTGGAAATACTATATATATATATATTAAATTAAATTCATTAAACCAGTATCTAAAATGCAGATATCATGTTTTCCCTTATTTGTGTTTGCTAGATCTTAGACAGATTTGTAAAATTATGCATGACATAAAGTAGAAATATAGCTTTCAAAGGGACTAAGGAATAAAGTGAGAGAAGGGAAGACAGGGAGGATGGGTTGGGATTAGTTCAAAATACAATGTATTTAATAAACAGAATAGTGAAAGACTCTGTCTTGCTTTTGGAAATGCTTTTGAGGTAGGAGTTCAGTAAAGAACATTTGGGAAGAAAATGATAGTACTTTTTTATGGTTGTTGGCCATAAGTAGAATGCTTCCCCCCCCCCTCCTCCTCTTCCTTCTCTTTTTTTTGAGTCAGGTGTTACTCTGTACCTTAGGTCACCCTCAAACTCACTGTGTACCCCAGGCTGACCTCAAACTCTCTATCTTCCTACCTTAGCCTCCCAGGTGCTGCGATTACAGGTGTAGACTACCAGGCCCACCATTCTTGAACAATTCCTAATGAACGTTTGTGGTCACCATGTAGACCACAAATGGAGAACTGCAAGGTGTGTTTTACTGCATCAGAGGATAGAGAATATAACGTGTTTTATAAAGTAAATTTTCAAAAAGGAGAAAAAAGAGAAAGAATATAACATTTTAAATTGCATTTCATTTCCCATGCCCATCTTTTGGAGCTAATAATTAGAAGTAGAAATTTTCTCTAGTTGTTCATTTCTAAAACAAAACCTTTTATTGGAGAGCTGTCTGTGGTTGGCCCCACTTCTTTCCCATGTCTCTAATAATATCTACCCATAAACTTCACAGTGGAACAGTTTTGGTTAGCTGACAGTATATTCACTTGGGAAAAGAACTAGAAGAAAATGTAATTCCATTGTGGAACCTTAGTGTTTATAGTTACTGTGATTTACCTGAGAGCATAGAAGCCAGGAGCTAAGTTGTGGTAGGAAGGCATAAAGATGAATAAAGGTGGACTTGGCTTTCAGGGAGCTCAGTCAGGTAAGATGATTGGTTTTTATTCCTTTCATAACTCTAAAATAGGACAGTGTTGGGAAGATGAGGGAAGGCTAACCAGGTGGCTCAGTGGGTAAAGGCTCTTGCCTGGTGACCTGAGTTCAATCTCTAGAATCTACAGAAAGGTAGAAAGAAAGACCCAACTCCACAAAGTTGTCCTCTGACTTCTGCATGCCCACTCCAGCACCTTCATGTGTGTGCACCCTCCCTTCCAACAATAATAAATAAAAATCATAAAGAATGAGAGAGTTAAGGGAACAATCACTTCCTGCTGCGTAGGATCCTGAGGCGTTCATAGACTCCATACTGTTCAATTCATTCATTTGTTCAGCACATGTGTACTGAGTAGAAATGGTTAATCCTGAGCTCATCAATGTAGACCGTATCCTAATAAAATGAAGGTCCAGGCATCCAAATGGCTCAGCATCAGTGGTGAAGGCCCACAGACCTCTGCATCACTGGATGAGAGATGTGCTTCAGTGTATATGTTTTGGGGTCTGATACCTTGGGCGTGCCTCTCAGTGGGCAGTACCCTAGACCGTAAGTGAGAGTTGTGATGGATAAGTCAAGTGAAGGGCACTCTTCAGAAGACAGAAAACTGACAGTCTCAGATGCCAGATGAGGAGCACATTCCAGGCAATGTAAGAGCCTCAGTCCAATAGTGGGATGTGTGCTTTGAAGATGTCCGGTAAGAGAGGCAGGAATGGCTGTCTCAGTGAGGCTTTGATGTCCTATTAAGTAGATCGCCTTGACCTCCAAGGTAAAGATGTTAATCAGGGAAATCACGTAGTATTTTAGGGCTGTAAACTGGTGCCAGTAAGTCAGACCTAACATAAAGGTGAATTTAGTTCTGGTCAGAACTTTTTAGCTGACTTTTGAAATTGCCAGTGTTTCACAGGAAGCATGGATTTCAGACTCTGTTGAAAATCAGTAACCTGGCATTGCTTCAAAGTGCCTGTGGGCTCGAGCTTCTAAGCAGCCCCAGGATGGAGGAGGCATATACAGCATTTTACCCAGGCCCACTTCCTTCAGGGCAACCGCTTGAGACTTGCTGGCATTTGAGGTTTAGGGCTAATTTTGAAACATACCCTTTGCAATTTAGGGAATAACTGTTAGAGGCTTAGAACTTGAGGTTTGTGGTTTGGTTTGTTTGTTTTTGTCTTTCTGAGACAGGGACTTCCTGCATCCCCTAGCTGGCTTGGAACTATGCAGACCAGGTTAACCTGGCTCTCACAGAGATCTGCCTGCCTCTGCTGGGATTAAAGGCCTGCACCACCACACTGGCCAGAACTAGAGGTTTTTATAGCTTACCTATGTACAAAGTTAGACTTGATTTTAAGTAGTGGAAGAAGCAAAAAGTATAGGTGAGGTACTGAAAATACTAGAGTGGCTAGAGAGTCATGAAGCATTAAGGCAGTGCAGGATCTTTGAGGATCTTTTCTGAGTTACAACTTGATTTAGGTGAGAGGCAGATAAGAGTCCTATCTCATAGGAATTTTAAATGAGGATGAAATAAAAGCATATTTACAGAGCACTCAGCTCAGGGACTGGCTCATATTCATACTCAGTAAAACAGCTGTGGTGGTAGAGCATGAAGAAGACGGAATCAAGGTCTCAGAAGTTTCCAGCAGATTACTGGGTGAGCTGGAGAACACAGGAGAAGGTGCAGATGGTGGTGGCAATTTTGGATGTGTTATATTTTGTGAAGCATTTGTGAGACTTGGAAGTGGAAATGTTGGATGTATTCCACAGTGGGGTCTACAGGCTGGTTCTGGGTCCCCCTTTCAGTCAGCTTGATGTGTCACAAATACCTCCAGGATCAGCTTTAAATCGAAGAATGTGGGATAGGTGCAATTATTCCACATTTGCTTAAATGTTATATAAAAGTTTCCAGTTTGTTTTAAAATTCTACTTTACCATTTTGGCCTGTGTTTGAGATGAACTAATTCAAATATTTGTTTATATCAAGGCCTGGAGAAATCTACAGAGTATTCCTTCTTCTGGTTGGCTTTTTCTATTTTATGTCACTATCATTTTTTTTATTATAGGCAGATACTTGTCTGGAAGTGATGAACAAATTTTTTTTTTTAAGTTTATACTCTGCCCTAACTCAACCAAGCCACAGCTCAAATGCCACTTTCTTTTGTATGCCGTCCTGACCGCTACAGCTGAAATCTGTACTTTATGATTTTTTATGACCCTTGCATGGAGCCCGTTTTGCACTCCATATGTTATTGTGCTGGTTCATGGACTTACATCCTTTGTTCTGTTGTGGAGTGTTTGTCCCCTGTGAAGGTGAGGCCTGTGTCTTATGCATCTTTATACCCAGTGTGACAGCTTCTACAGCACACCATCTGGTCAGTTCAATAGACTTTTAAACATATAGGGATAAGAATTTCTATATTCTAGGAATAAAAAGTGATTAAGAAGATAGCTTAATAAATCATTTATACTTTTTAGGAAAGGTAGTTTACTGTGAAAATGATTGTATTTGGTCCCGCCTTGTATGACCTCATATATCATAGCCCTTAGCTCTTCCTTAAGGTTCTAAAAGGAAATCAGTTTTCATGCTTATAATCTTCTGCTTTGAATCTAATGATTGTTCACAGCTATGGACAGGAGCCTACCTCACACAGATCTTCATGATATTGAACTCACAAAGATCCGCCTGCCTCTGCCTCCCAAATGCTGGGATTAAAGGCGTGTGCCCCTCTGCTGCTGTCTGTGCCTCCCTGACCTTTCTTATCCTGCTTATTCTGAGTAAAGTCCCTCCCTGTCCACACAATAAATTCCCACTCATCCTCTAAGATTATGCTCACCATCCTTTAGAAAGTGGTTCCTGGCATCTTTCAGTTCCTGCCTCCATATAGAGAAATTCTCTTTTGTGTTCTTTTAACACCTTGTACACCTGTCATGGCTGTCTTTGTCAAGAAACCGTATTGTGTTTCAGAGGAACTGCTGTGTATTTAAAGAACTCCAAGTCTGGGAGCTAGATTTTTTTAAACTATGAAAATGTAGTATGAAATATATATGTAAATATGTAATTTATGATAGAGGCTTGTGAAAACACCGAGGAGGGCTGGACTCCATACAAGGGCTAAAGTAAATCTTGGAGATAATAAAGTGAGTATTGAAGCCTGTCTAGGTATAAGTCCAACAGACAAAGGGATTGGCATTCCATATAACAGCATAGAGGTATTAGAGCAGCCACTGAGCTCTCTCTCCAGCCCCACATTAGTGAACCTTTTAAAACAGATTTAGATTACTGAAAAAGATAAGGATAGTTATAATCTATTTTTTTCTGGCTTTTGTGATGATTGGTCAGTAAGCTTGGTCAAAAT